TATCGTTTACAAATTCGAAACGCATACGAACTTTGTGCACGTATTCAAATGGAGTTGATTGCGCCGAGGAGAGTCTTAAATTATATGGGAGCAGGAGATTGATGGGCTTTTGATTGATATGCTCGACTTCAGCACAAAGACTGTGACTGGAACGCTTCTCATACTGAATATATAACGGTAGATAATAACTGTTCGAAATGTATGCTTATGTATGGAGGTGTTTGTCCGAAATGACCCACTGATAATTATGGTTTATGATGCTGATTCATGATGATAATTGACGATAAGGTTTGATGTATAACACACAGCTCAAATTTCTAATCGTATTCCTAATCTAAAAAATGAAATATTATATGATAAGGGTTCTTGCAAGTAGTTCAATGAATTATTGGTAATGCAAGTCCATGCAGAGCGTGTTTCCTTATCTATAAGGTATATTATATGTAATGGGATATACCATTCATTTGGCTCTCTTCGCTCAGTGACCTCCCTTTAACACATTTTGACACCTCTCTTTGTCCCTTACAATATGCCCATCATCTTGACACCCAATACAAAGAAGTTAAAGCTCTCTGATTGATCTCGGCCTTATTCAACCTCACGATATTTCAATTTGCATGCTTATACAAAATTTCTTTCATTATGAAGCGTTTCACTCTATACTCGAATATCTTCCACTTTTTTTCCCCCGGTCTCAAGGTCGCAGCAATTTTGCAATGCGGATCAATAAACGCAATGCTCCATTATATTCGCATAATACTCGATACTCGATATTCGATACTCGATGATACTCAATGCATTGTAATAATTTTTATTGCTTTTTTGCGTAAAGCGGAGAAAAACCGCAAAATCGTTTTGAAATAGCTTCGTTGATTGGCCGAAACCAATTTCAGTTTTGTTTTCAGCTTTAAGGCAGATGAGTAAGGCCCGTGTTCCCAAGTTTTCGATATCTATCGATTTGGAGCCGAATGAACAACTTCGTTTGACTTAATTGTTTTTACGGTCACTTTTCTTGCCATAAACTTTTTTATTGACCGCACAATCATACTGCTTTGCGTTTTATGTTGTCTTTTCCACAGTTTCAAACTGCAACAACAACGTAGCATAATCAACTTTTATTACAAGTATTGAAGAAGGCATTTTTACAGGCGATAAAAATCACAGAAATTTGTTGAAGTTTACTGATAAGCCATGAAAGCCAACAAATGTCGAGTTATCACTTCATTAGCCAAAGCTAAGACGTTCTAAGAAAGAGAGGCTGAGCCCCTCAAATATCTGGGCTGGGTGCTAAGAAGTCTTGTTGATATATAATTAACAGCATTAGGAACTAGAAATCCAAGCAGCAGCCATAAATATTTTAGAAAGGCAAAAACAAGATGCTAAAACATTTGATGGATTCTATTTATGGGTTAATAAGATAAGCATAAAGTAGAAGTAAGAATTACCAAAATGAGGAGTATATTATAGGAATATGTAAATATTTGATATATATTGAATATAATATATGTATATGATACAAATATATATCACTATATCTATCTTTATAGTACATCTTTGACATGAACACATTAAATTTATCTATATATGTCACAAAACTCATTATATATAATTAGTAGAAATATCTTTTATCTACAATACAATTCTTGTACGTTCTTTTTCGATTTCCGATACTTAATGTCATTTTGGAAACTAGAATTTTGGCTTAGGGCAGCAGAGAGAATCAAGAACGATTCTTAACATTGACAAATTACAAGATACAAATATTCTAAGTAGTCGCCGCCGCCGCCCAGCGGGCACTTGACCCACATTTTGAAGAAGAAGAAGAAGCATAAGGTACGCAAATGAGCTCGAAAGCACAAGAAAAAATATATATGAATAATAGAGATGGAGCACCATATGAATAATCGTTAAGTACATATATAGAAATATATATATAAGCTATAAGTGGAAATGCTTAAGTTTTTTCAATGTTAAAGAACTAGAAAATTTCTTGAGACGATCTATGTCAAACGAAAGTAAGAAGAAAGAAGGAAAATGCAGTGGTGAAAAAATCAATAAACAGTAGAAAGACCTTCGTGCTAATAGGTTATTTATTTTCATTTCTATTTTCACTGTAGCGAATACCCGACATGGATATACCACATGGAAAGATATGGCCGATGATATGGCTCTGGTGCTTTAGTGGTGGCGTGCAACAAGCAACAACTGACCTCAATACCATTTAGCAGGGTGTTCAAGCTGTGAACGCAAGGCAGCAACTATTGCGAAGGGGCGTGGCATATATACAGCCACATACTAACACTTTCATTATTAGCACACATACTATATATGATATATAATGGCTTAATATATATACATTTGTGAAGAAAGAAATGCAAAAAGCAAATTACACGCTAATGCGCTTTTGCAAGCGCCTTCATTGTTGGCTAATGAGCCGAAAAAGAGAAAAACAAATTAAGTTTGGCTATTTCGCATAGATTAAACTTATGTAAGCCACAAACGATTTCCCACGCACAATTGAAAAGGGCCAAAAATCGGCTTACAAATTGAAAAGACAACAAAAAATATACACGAAAAAACAACAACAACTCTGCGAGCCATAAAGTTCGTCATTCAAGTTAATTTGACATGGGGTTCGAGAACCGGAGTTACGAGATTAGAACGCGTCTCACCTTGACTTTGTCTGTACAACAACAACAACAACAACAACAACAACAACAACTGTAGCCTAAGTAAGAAACTCAGTTGAAAGATAAGCGCAGCACAGATAACGTTCAAAACTAACCAAACAAACAAACAAACAGAAAAGAAAAAGAAGAGAAACGAAAATGTGCTTCAAATACAGTAGAGCGCAATAATAATGCACACTGCGAATTCTAGTTGCTTTGCACTCTGCCCCTCTCCCTCTCCCACTCTTACACTCGGCTTACCGTAGTTAGTGTAAGCCAAGTGCTCTTCACTGTTCCTTAGTTCAGTGCAACCCCGCTCTCCACCACACGCTTCTCTCTCTATCACTCTTGCGCTCTCTGTCCTTCTTTCACCTCGCCGCTCTTTGCACAATTAAAAAAATTGGATTAGCGCTGCTGAAGCACAGCAAAGCAAAAGAAAATAAAAATAAAATAAAAGTAAAAAGTAAAAAAAATAAAGAAGAGTTTGCTTTTGCCTTTGCGGCTGCAGCTAAAGCTGAAGTGTTTCGCCGTTGGCACGTCAGCTGCGCAGTCGGCGTCGCGACGAACGCCTGGGCAGAGATTACGCTGACAGATAATTAAAATTGTAACTACGTTTTGGGTGCAGTGCCTGCTAGAAGTATGTGCATGCGAAAGCCTGGCAAATCTTTGTTAAATGTCTTTCTTTTGAAAGATTTCCCATTTCAAAGCTTTATTTAACTGCCATGTCGCCTTCCCTCTCCCACTCAATAAATTTTCGTACTTTATGATTGTCGCCATAAAAGAAAAGACAGAAATTATGAGAGAAAGATTTCACTTGTCTCGATTGCCATCAAATTAGTTTTTGTTGCACTTACAGCTTTGCTCTGCACGCATACTAACTTAACGGACTGTTAAATTATTGCTGTCTCTCTCTACCACTCTCCTCGCTCGCCGTCTCTTTATAACTAAATAGAGGCACTTTTTTTAGTGGCACTCACTATGTACGTACTTAGCGCTGAAATGGGGTTTATGCCCTTGTGCCCCCGCCCCTTGCTTCACACTGTTTCGCCGTCGACTCTCTTCAGCAAATTCAGTTTGTTGTTTTATTTTGCTTGCCATTATAAATTCCACAGCTTTATTTGCATATTAAAGTAAATGCTGGAGCTCGTGTGTGCAGCTGGCAGAAGATTTGGCTTAAGAGAGCAGCGCCTGGATAGAATAGGGGGAAGAGAGCGGAAGTTCTCTGTGTAGCACAGTTGGTCATGTGCCTGATAATGCAATTATGTCTAGTTGAAAGTCAGTGGAATTCGGAACAGTGCTTGCTCTTGTTTAGGTACTTCGGTAATTTGCTGGCAAATACATACATCCATATCTAATTTACTCTTTGTAGGTTACGAGGCGACGCTTTTGCTGCAGTTCCCAGCTCTACTCAAGCCATTTAGGAGCTGCAAAACTTTCGCGTTGTCTAGCAAATTGCCAACACGTTAGAGTGGGAGAGAGAGAGAGCGAGATGCTAATAGAGGGCGGGGAGACGGTGCTCGATCGGACAGTTCCCCTAGGCAAACGGCAATTTCGTTAATGGGTGAAAATAAATAATATTTCTGTGCTCGTAATATGCCAAATCAACGTAAGATTTGCTTCCTTGTACGAGGCTCATAGCCAATGCTGTTGCTGATGGTGCTGCTTTTTTTTCTCTTCTTCTTCTTCATCTTCCAGTCACAACACGAAACGAAACAGCAGGAAACGCAGACAGAGTGGCCCATCCAAGTCTTATATCGAGATTTATTTGCACAATTCCGGTTTTGGGATTTTCGTTTGGGTTTTTTATTTCAATTTTTAACATTTGCTCTATGTCTCCTACGAAAGAACGAGCTCATCGCTAAGGAGCAAGCGAAACAGAGACAGCAAGCGAGAGGAAGAAAGAGAGAGACTTAGCTTGCAGGAGTGCTGCATATGATAACAAGGCGAAGCAGTTGACAAAGAGGAAGTGCAGACAAAACAACCAAATCGATGACAGCTGTTTGTTGTTGCATTGCCTCTTCTCCGCAGTTATTTCCCATTATTTTGTTGTTTTTGCTTTTCATGCAGAAACACTGACACTGAAACCTTAAGAGGCGCCCACATCGAGCCATCCATGAAGACTTTAAAGTTTTAAGCACTTCATTTAACTCGTTGTCCATTGACACTGACACAGTGACACGCAAAAAATCAATATTGAAAATAAATTGCAATTAAACAAATTCATTTGGCTGCTAATGTTGTCTATTTAACGCCATTTGACGAAATAAATATTTGTATATATTTCGATTTATTTTTCTTTTCGTTTTATTTTTTCTTCACGCAAATAATTACCAATTTGCTTAGCCACTAATGCAGTTTAAATACTTAATAAACGCTGTTGCCAATGGTAGCAACAACAATAAATATACACAAACAAACACACGCGTTAAGACGAACACACAGACGAGAGCGCGACGCGCGCAGCTGAGCGGCAGCTCGAATATCCGTTAGAGTGTTACACACGACTTCAACTCTCTCCGAAACACACGTCCACACATAAGCGCGTTCGGCTAGCAACTGAAAGCCACAAATATTGTCGTGCGGCTTGTGGGCCCCACGAAGCGCCAAAATCGTCAAAGCAACAATACACCACGGCGGCAAAGAAGAAGACGTCGGCGCAGCGACAAATGTGCAAGAGGCACAAGTGAGAAGCGAGCAAACGTAACGTAATGTAACGTAACGTAATGCGTAGCCACCTTGGCTAGCCAAAAGGTAGATGACGCCAGCGCTAACGTGATGTTAGGCTGCTTGAGGCAGGTTGGAACGCTGTGGTGAGTTTTGCAGGCTGTGTGTCTCTCAACGATGCGTGTTTAGTGGCCAGGTGAGTTTGCGTTCGCTGCACCTTCTGCAAGACTCTATTCTTGTTCTTTCTGTTGTTGTTATTGTTGTTGCTCTTTTTTAATTGAACGTGCATTGAGACTGCAGCTGATAGGCGAACCCGCACTCACATTCGCACTCGCACTGGCAGCTGAGCTATAAATAGCTGCGCCTCGGAGCTTTGGAGGCGCGTGTGCCACAATTTAGTTTTATCGTTGATTGAGCGTTAGCCTATCATTAGCTGGACATTTTGCTCTTTAAATTGTGTGCGCTTATGTGTGTGTGAGTGTGTGTGTATGAGAGTGAAGTGTTTGAATTGGCAATTGAGTTTAACATTACAAGGGTGGCTGCCTGCATGCTTATGGTGTGGATTAAGTGATGTGATTTTAGAAGAGAGCGGAGGGAAATGTTGAGAGGAATATGATATGCCATAAAGCGAAAGAAAAAAGAAGTAATGTGCATATGTATACGTGCATGTATGTTAAGCTTAATTGTTATAGACTCTTTAAAAGCCTTAATCAAATATTTATTTATTATTAACTGCAGAATTTGTATAAGAGAGCAAAGAAAAGTGAAGAGACAAAGCAGTAAATAATATGCATATGCATATGTATGCAGCTTAAATTTATATTTGACTGACTTAAGTGTATGACAAAAATTCAGTTTTCAGAAATTCCCTTGACGTCTTATCGGACAAATTTTTAAACAGTTGTTTACTCAAATGGGAAATATTTATCATAAATGAAGATATGCAATTGTACAAGTAAGTCTTTTTTCTCTKGCGTTGGGAAATAAATAAATAGCCTTGAGCCGCAGTACAGAAAGAAGTTCAGGCCGTGTGACTCATCTAGCTAGTGTGAGCGAGATAGACAACTACGACTGTTGATGTCATTGAAAGAGACAATTGCGTATTTACACACGAACTTTTGTTGTTTAGCTTTTGCAAATGGCAGCTGTGCGAGCTGAAACAAAATGTCTTTTATAATGTAATTTGGGTATTTGTTTTCACGCATCAATGCCAGCTATCTATTTTTATGGCCGAAATGATTTCACTGACTCAATCAGTGGAGAGGCGACGATTCTGTGAGTTGAATGCACTTTCAGTTTTATTCATTCTTTTTTTTTTTTATGGTCAAGACAATTGCGCAAGAGCGTAAACAAAATAAATATTTGCAATCATTATGAGTTTTTTTTTTCGTTTTCTTTTGTTTCGTGCCAAGGCAAAGTTAATGAAGTCGCCGACGAAGCCGACGCCGCCGCTGCCGGCGCTAACCTTTGTCGGCTTTACAGTTAAAGCTCAGCTCGCTGCTCTCTGCGCTCTGTGATTACATGCTAATTGCCTTCTGACCCATTTCGCCGAAAAAAAAGAGTTCGTAACTGGAGCAGAAGCAAGAATTCTGTAACCGAATTCGACTTCAACTTCCAGTTCGACTTCAAGTTCGAGCTGCTGCCTGCCCGCCCGCCTGCATGTAATTAAGATAACGTTTTCGACTCTTCCGCATTTCGTGTACTGCGCTTTGTGACTCACGGAGTGAGGGCCACACTTGAGACTTGGCAGCTCGTCGAAGATGCAGGAGATAAGGAATTGGGTGTGCCCTTTGGCATATCCCACTTACAGATCGCAGATCGCTTACGCTGTGTAACACATTCGCAAATGGTATGGCATAGCTCACCTGGCGTACCTGGCATACAGTTGGGTTCTTCGTCATATTTGAGAGATTTATAAATAAATTTAGAATATATACTTGACATTAGTCACAAAATGAAAACGGACGCTAGATGTGACAAAATATCGTTGTCTCAAATTCCTTGGCATAGCCAAGAGACTCCCGCCACTAGTTAGTGCATTGCTTTGGTAAATAAACACACGCGTGGGCGTCTCTGGCGACGCGCAGTCGATAACGTAACGAGCCGGGCAGGTTGCCAAAATCAAAATTGTTGCAATATGTTGAGGGTGTGTAAAAGAAAAAGATATGGGGAAAGGGAGAGAGGGGGAGATAGACATGCCTTACCCTGCGCTGCTGCGGTTGCTGCTTCTGCTGCTCGTAAAAGTTGCTGCTGCTGCTGCCGTTCCCTAGCCATTCCACATCGCTACAAGATCAAATGAGAGAGAGAGGGAACGTAATCAACCACATGTTGAACGAAATTCACCACACAACAAACAAAAGTCAGCGCTCTCGCGCTCTCTTCGTGCTCATCGTACTCACCGCTGCATGCGCTGTATAACCGGCAACTGTGCGGTGCTGTCGTGAATGCGAACTTGATCCGGCGTTATCTCTTCCAGCAGAAACATATTTTTGCTCGCCAGCGGCAGCGCTGTCGCTTCGCTCTCAGCTGCGCTGCCACCGCTGTAGAAGAGCGGACTGAGCGGCCGGCATGCGCCACCCAAAAGCTCGTCAATGTTTTGATGACGCGAAATGAAAAGCTTATCGCCCACACGGCACGTGGGCGGCGTATAAGAGTAACGCGGCGGCGGTGTTGGCGGCATTGGCGACGACTGCGACGCCGACTGCAACTGCAACGGCGGCGCTGCCATTTGAACTTTTGACATTGGAATGTTATCGTAAGGTGACGCGCAAAGCTTTCGCTGATCAATCTGCTCGATTTGCTCTGCCGGCAGCGGACTGGCGCATTGGCCTAACGGATTCGGGCGCACCGAGTAGGCAAAGTCGAAGGAGGTGCTCATCTCACAGGGCTGACTAAGCACCTGTGCATCGACCTGGTCGCCACTTGTTGCCTGTGGTTGCTCCGGCTGCTCTGGCTGATCCTCCTCCAGCCACCAGGCTCGCTCGCCCGAATCCCAGGGCTTGATGATGCGCGGCGGCGGTGTTGGCGGCGGCGTTGGCAGTTTCACTGGCGGCGGCTGTAGCTGCGGTTGCGATTGCGGTTGTGGCTCCACCTGCTCCTGTTCCTGCCACCAGGCGCGCTCCCCGGACTCCACGCGCTGCACATTGAAGAGCTTCTTGGCGGGTCCCGCTTGCCACCAGGAAGGTGACTTTGCTGCGGATGATTGGCTGCTCTTGTTGCTGCTGCTGCCGCTGCTGCTGGGCAGCTTCAAGGTCACCTCCACATTGTTGCAGTCCTCGTGGTAGCCATTCGACGTGGGCTCCTGCGGCGGCTGCGGTTGCTGCTGCTCGTCGTCTAGCCACCAGGCATCCTGCTCGGGTGAGATGCGACTGCGCGGCATGCGCTTCACTTGCTCCTCCTGCTCAAACTCCTCCACTCTCGCCTCCTGCTCCTCCTCCCGCTCTCGTTCGTGCTCGTCTTTGCTGCTGCTCCATCTGTAACCAGATTCTCCCTGCGAAATGGTCGCCACACTCGCATCCTGCTCATCATCCAGCGCATTCAGCGTGGTCTCCGCCAGCGTATCATCCTCATCGGGACGCAGCCACCAGGCGTGATCCTCGCCCGAATCGATGTGCCTCAGCCTGTAGGGCATTTCGCTGCGATTGTTATTGTCCAAGGCGGACGCCGTATTGATCTGTAGGCTCGTGTCCTGCCACCAACTGGGCTCCTCCGTATCCTCCTGCTGGGCCTCGCTGGTCAGGCTCTCCTGCCTCGTGGTCGTTTGATTGGGACTTGTCGTCGGATTCGTCGTTGTCGTCGTCGTCGACGTGGCTGGCGTCGTCGTTGTCGTTGTCGCTGGTTCGTTCGTTTGCGTGTCTAGCAAGAGACTGGCCAAAGCTGGTTGGGATTCCGCTTCGCTACCAGCGCTCTCGGAGCTTTCGAGGAAGATCGGCTCACTATTTGCGTCGTGCTGACGAGTGGCCAAAAAATTCGATACCTTCGACAGCTTCTGCAGACGCGACTGCGACCGATCCGCACCCACTGACACCCCCACCCCCATGGCCCCCTCATTGGGTGAGTCAAGCGACGACTTGTTGCTATTTTGGTTGCCCAATGCCAATTCGACGCTCTCGCTCTCTGCCTCTCTCTGGTTCTGGCTCTGGCTCTCGCTCTCTGGCGTCGGCTGCTCCTCTCTCTGCATTGCCTTTGCCTTCGCCTTCTCTTTCACTTTGTTTTGGCTGCCATTCGCTGGCGACTTCTTCTTTCCCTGCTTCTTGGTAGTCTTCGCGCGCTGTTCGCCATCGGAGGAGGAGCAGGCGGATGTAGTCGAACAGCTGACGCTGCTCTCCTTGCTGCCACTGTATCCATTGCCATTGCATTTGCTGCTCTCCTTGCTCTCACTGCTGCCGTTGCTTCCATTGCTCCCATTGCTTTTGCTGCTCCTATTGCTGCCATTGCATAGGCTGCTCTCCTTGCTCTCCTTGCTCCCGTTGCTCTCACTGCTCTCCTTGCTCCCGTTGCACGACTTGTGCGCCTTGAGCTGTCGAGCCGCTGTCTTGCCATTGGCCAGCATGGCCGGCTTGGAGGCAGCACAGTCGGATCCTGCGCTGGGTGAGCGCTCCAGGACCGCCTCCTCCGACTCGCCGCCGCTACTGGGCGTCCGGGACTGCCTGGGCCTGTCCGTGGGACCCACATTCAGGGAGCTCTTGCGGAAGTCCTTGTTGGGCCAGGGCCACTTGGCCAAGGAGCTGCCCGAGCTGCTGCTGCCGTTGCAGCTCTTGGTGGGTGACTCCGCCTTGGCGGGCACCGCCGGCGGCTTGTTCACCAGATTCTCCACTGAGGATTGCCGTGAGTTCAGGCGAACTGCCTTAGGCGGCGATAGCTTGGACTTGCTCGAGGACTTGCTGCTCGCCAGGCTCACAGCTCCGTTGCTCTTGCTCTCCACGCTGGGCGAGCTGGACTTGGGGGAGCTGCTGGCTTGGGGACTGGCGCTGTAGCGCAGGCTGCTAATGCGATCCCTGTGCGTGCTGTAGTTGGAGCTGATGGAGCTGCTGCCGCCGGCGCTGTAGCGCAGAAAGCGTGTGGAGTCGTCCAGCCGATCCGACTGGATCTCCTTCTCCAGCATTTGACGCTTTCTTGTGGATCGCTGAATGGTCTTCTCGATGGTCTTGGCTATGTCGATGCGACGTGTGCGCTGCACGGTGGTGCTGCCTGGCGGTGTGGGCGAGGTGGCTCTGGTCACCACCAACACAGAGACAAAGGTCTCTTCTGGTTCTTCCGTCTCCTGCTGCTCCTGTTCCTCCTTCTGCTCCTCTTTCATCTGCCTCTCTTTGCTGTTCGGCTCATCCTCTATTTCCTTCAGCTCTTCCGCCTTTGGCTGTTGCTGCTGCTGCTCCTCCACCTCCTTCTCCCTGCTCGCCTTGCGACTGGCGGTCCTCGCATGGAAGTCACTCGTGGTCAAATAGGAGATGGACTTGTCCAGCGTGCTGCCCGCTCCATTCAATCTCGTTCCACTCGGCGCATAGCGACTGTTGTAGCCATTCCTCGAGACGCTGCTCCGATAACCAGCTCCGCTTAGCTGGGGACTGGGATCCCGCGACTTGGACGTCGCTCGATTCGTGTGCTCCAGCGCCACAGGACTGGGATCCCGCGAGCGTCCATACTTGCTCAGCTTTGTGCTGGCTCCCGTGTACCGCTTGATGGGACTGCTGCGATCGCTGCTGGCGACTTCTGGCTTGGTGGGCTCCGTCTTGGCATAGCGACTCACGTAGCTGGTGACGGGCGTCGGGGCAGGAGGATCGCGCTTGATGCGATATGTGCCGCCAGAGAACGACGGTCTGTAGGAGCTGGGCGTGGCTAGCGAACTGTAACGCGATGTGGCACCCCCGCCCAAATCCGATCCCAACGTATACTGCGAAATGGAAAAGAGAATTAGTTGGCTTGCCGAGAGAGAGAGAGAGAGAGAGAGTTTCGAACTTACTGTTGAGCTGGTCGGCTTGTATGAAGAACTGCCCAAGTTCGATTTCCAGGGCGCCTGTAATATATAGAGGAAATGATTGTATTAGAAATTTGGATATAGATTTATGTCGTATCGGTAGTAAAGTAACGGCTCGTACTATACGACAGTGAGAGTGAGGGTGAGAAATGTGGAAGAAGAAAGAGGGAGAGAAAGCAAGAGAACGAAGGAAAAGAGAGGTAGAGTAAAAAGGAATATCATAAGCGAAGTTTAATGTACTTCATAATGATATCTTGTATAGGATTGATATATCATAGATGTAGAGACTTTCTAGCTTGCCACCATTTTGGAACTCCTTAGTTCCCATTTAAATCCATAATTCAACTAAGATATCATCCCACTCACTCAAAACGAAGTTGCTATAAATTTCCTATAATATTTACTCCACAGATCATTTCACTGCAACGAAAATGCAAAGAGCAGAAAATCGAGCTGCAGCTCAGTTTGATTGATGGGCGCACTCAGATTTTCCACATGGAAGGCAATCGCTGCGAACTTGAGATGCGTTCGACAATTATTCGCCAGCTCATTTCATTATCTGCAACGGACTCTGACAGAGGGCGGCAGGCATCCCAGACACATCAACGCCATCAACTGGCCCCAGTCCCCCTCGATAGGGCAGAGCGGCGTTACCCCATATGTCTTTTGGCTTGCTTTGAACTCGTTCGCATTTTCTTTTCAATTTCGATTTCAATTTCGATTTCAATTTCAATTAAATGGCGCTGCGGCACGCATTTTATTCTATTTTCTCATTTCATTTCAATAAATTTCGACGTGTAAACAGATTCTTTATCGATATTTCAACATCTGCGTGCATTAGAAAAAACCCTTGCCTCTTACCCTCTCCCTCACTCTTTCTCTATATATCTCTCTCTTTGTCTCTTTGCATATCTCTTTCGATCTGGCAGACAGCGAATTCATATTGCGAAATCCATGTCAGCTTTTTATAGAAATTTGGCAAGCGAATCCCCAATTAATATTAATAGTACTTAGGTTCTAGATATGCCTGAGCTATTAAATGTCGAGGAATGTCGAGGGGAAAATGCTCGAATGAAAATTCCAAATTGGAAATCTGAGGGCAAATGAAGTCGCAGTTAAAGTGGCCATAAAAATCAACGATTTACCTGAATGCCACAGCGAATGCTCGACTCTGAATCGTGCATGAAATTCCAGTCTAGATGAGTATTGGAATACCCCTGCTCTCGTTCTGCCTTACCCTCGCCCCTTTGCCTCCTCCTCTGTTAGAGCTCTGCTATGCCTCTGTTACCTCTCGCCCTCGCTCGACTGGCGCTTCCGTTGTCCCTCTGCTATCCCGCTGTTGCGGCTCCCGCTCTACCTGGCGCTAGGCTCTGCCTCTGTTACCCCTCTGTTGCCCCTCTGTTAGCTCCCCTTTGAGCGCTGGGCTGGCGCCTGCGTTGCCTACACAAATGACATGTGCCATAAAAAGTGCATATTTCTCCAGTGCCTAAGTACCGCCCGCCCAGCATGAGGTGGGCGTTGAGAGCAGGGGCGTGACAGGAGGGTGGGATAGCAAGGCATTTAATTGTCTTAGCTGCTGCTGTTGTTGTTGTTGCTGTTAGCGAAATGGAATGCCAAACGCAAATAGCGCAACAATGTGCAAAGTAAACGAAGAAGTGGGAGAGCGGGAAGCTGGAGAGCAGGAGGCGGTAGAGGCGGCTGATTATTGCCATGTGGCATGCCACAAAACAGAGAGTGCTGTCTCAGCCAGTCTCTTCCACTCTAAATCGATCTCTCTCTCCCTCTCTCTCTCATTTGACAGCGTTATTATGCGAACTCAATTAGGCGCTGCCCAGGCAGGATATAAAACGTCGGCCCTATCTGTCAGTCGGTAATGCCCATAAAGTCGAAGAGATCGAGCAAATGTGCATTTAGCGAAATGCAACAAAATGTGGCAGCAACTGCAGCAAATGCGGCCAACGAAATCAAATTACTTGAAGGCAAAAAATAAATTGAGAGAAAAAAAAAAAACAAAAACATTCGCGTGCCATCGCAGCAGACATATGATTTATTTTCTCTTCTGTTTCTCAAAATATTTTTAGTTTTGGTGTCAAAAATTTATATATACATATACATATTTATGGGGGTATCTGATAGAAATGCACAGAGCATATATATATATGTATGTATGTATGTATGTATGTATGTATGTATGTATATATGTCTCAGATATATATACGCAATCTGCTTGGATGCCAGCGGCATAGAAATTTTACAAAGTGCTATAAAAGTTGAATAAACGCAATCGCGAACAAGTAATAAAGCAAATGTGCGAGCATATGTGATAGACTGGGAAATACCCTGTAAATGGAAATGAATGCGAGGAATGATTGATTAAGCTATTCTTAATGTGTAGAATTATTATATATATAAATTTATTATAGAACAAGATAGAGAGAGACAGAGAGAGGAGAGACAGAAATGGGTAAATCCGGCAGAGTCTGCTTTGAAAGAGAGAGAGAGGCTGCAGGGCTAGAGAAAGGGTTAGAGGAGAAAGGCGGATGAAAGAATGAGAGATTAATGTAGAAGAGTTAAGATATTGAAAGACCCAGATATGTGACCAACTAGGAAATATCATATATGAAATATCATCTATCTATCTGACACCGATATATGAAAAAAATAAATAATAGAAAGAGAGAGAAGTAAATACAGATAAAAAGAATTTCACTTTCAAATAGGCCTACATATATGATTATTCTCAACATATTTTAAGCCAACAGGTACTATCCATCCCCTGTTTGAGTGTCTGCCAAATAATCGTGTCTCTAAAAAATGCTTGATTCCCTCGATTTTTTTATGTGGCATTCCTCAACAAAAATCTCTTAGGTATTTCATATAAAATAAGGAAACTTAAAAATAAACAAAAACCTAAATATTTCTAAATAAAATACCATTTTCGATAAGCTGAACTTTAATGAGCTTAGCTAAATCTACATCAGCTCTCTAAAAAATAAGTAGAATTGGATAAATACATACATGGATGACTGTAAAGTTCATGAATCAAATCAAATTAAAGAAAAGATAGACAATTATTATCTGTTTAGGTTTTATTATTTGAAAAAGTAGTTGACAAAGTTGAATTTAAAGGAATGTTGAGATACATTTGAGAGGAGTATGAAATGAGTATCCAAAAGCGAGATAGTAGAAAAGGGATGGAGTGGGAAATAGAGTGATTGGGATCGTATAAAATATATATGTAGCAAAAGGTACCCAGAACTATACGTACATATACATGCATATATACACACACACATATATATACGYATACATACATATTCATTCAGTGAATTAAAATAAAAATTCTTCTATATTGCACTCAGTTCTTTGGATTGTTTCAGTTATCGTCAGCCTAGCAGTTCGTTCAGACATATATACCGTTATCTATATGCATACACACATATATATATGTGGATATAGCTACAATTGAAATATATATATATACACATATATATACAGATGCAGTCGTGTCTAGTATATAAGTGAGCTAAGTTTAAGTGATGTTGTTGTTGTTGTTGTTCATGGTGATTGTTGTTGTTGTTGTTGTTGCTGCTGTTGACAAGAAACCGAATACAAGCGAACAGCAATTTGAATGTTGGCCAAATCATTGATATCAAAACTAGGCAGATTTCTCGTGTGACGACGGCTGCGACAGCTTCGTTACGGATAGCTTGGGCGCCTGGGAGTTGAGCGGCATGATCAGGCCCAGGTTGCGTGTCTCCGGCACAAAGGGATCCCAGATGGGCGGCCGCGACGGATACTTGTCCATGGCATCGCGCATGCCCCGCATGCCCAGCTCCAGGGCGCAGTTGGCCGAGCTGCGGCCGGCCGGCTGCTGGGTGAACGGGCCATTGAAGTGGACGTAGATGTCGCCCTGGCTGGCCAGGTCCAGGCCATACGTGGTCAGATCCTCGCCGGTGACCATCTGGATGGCATTGGCAGTGCTGCTGCGCGAGGCACGCAAATTGGCCACGAGGCCGCCTAAGCCGAAGATGTCCGGCTGCAATGTGCGCGTCGTTCCGTTCAGTTGGCTGGCCGGTGCCGGAACCGAAGCCGGAGCGGCCTCCGTCTCCTGCTGCTCCTGCTGCTGCTGCTGCTCCTGCTGCTGCTGCTGTTGCTGCTGCTGTTGCTGCTGCCCTGTCGCCTGCCTCTGCTCGGCATGGGGCAGCGGCGCTGGCCCATTCTCCTGATACATCACATCCGAGTGCTGGCCAAAGATGTCCGTGAACGTGGGCAACGGCGGCAGCTGATTGTGCAGCTCCGGGAATAGGCGATACTCCCAGTCGTTGGGCGACACACTGACCGGCACATCATGCGTCTCGGTGGGCATATCCACGTCGTCGCTCTTGCTCTCGATCTGCTCCTCCTGACTGGCCTCGCTGTCGCCGGCTGGATCCTCGTGCAGCGCTAACAACGGTTTCACCTTGCAACGGGGTCGTCGTCGTCTGGGCATATTGTGTACTAAAAACCGACTTTCAAATAGACTTGAGAAACAATTGTTAACTGTCGCCCAGCCTCCCCCCATACACATGCCTAYGCCCGGGGCAGCAGATATCAGATGTATAATGTATATATATATGTATATATATATAATATATTCAGATATATGCATATGCATATATTCACACTTTGGCTTATTAATTAGGTGGCCAATGCGCCACCCACTTGCCGCAATCCACTTTCCGCTTGATGGGGCACGCGCTCGCATTTACAGCTTCCTTCGGGCCATAAAAGTCGCACTGCAGCTGGACAGTTGACGACGACTCCTCAACGCACAAACGACACGACAATAATAAAAAACGAACTTTTTTCCCTTTTTCGAGCATTTTTCGAAACGAAACTGTCTAAAAATAAACAGCCTCCAGTATTCCGACTCCGACTCGGTAAACTTGTCGGTGCCCCATCAATCGAAACACAGTTGTCGGGGCGCAATCTTTAATTGATTTATGGCTCAGGAGCTTAGCCAGCATCAAAAGGTCACATAAAGTCGTAAACAAAGACATTTAAGACTACAGAAGCTGATGCGATAATAGGAAGCTGCTTCAAATGGATTGAAAGTGTGAAAAGAGGCGCATAAACTGGAGCCATAGAAGTGGAGGGCGTGGAATACCAAGTTCTAGTAGTTGATTGTAGTGGTACATGTTTATATAGATTTAGCTATTGATACATGATTGCATATTGCATGAGATGGGGTATAGTGCTATCGATATGTTTACTTGTTATGTATCGATTTTATCTGTGATATCAAATGCGCTTAGTATCGATTATTATCGGTGATGTAAAATATGATTGTTATCGATTGTCATCTGTGATATCAAGTAGGCTTATTATTGATTTTTATATGTGATACAAATTGTTGTCTCCAAAGTTCATTTTTCCACGGGAATTCATTCAAATAGGATAACATGATTTTATGAAATTTTTATAGGCGAGGGTTTAGATAAATTTTATTTAGAATCTCTTTCGTCCCTTGCCATAATCGCAGGCAATGGAGAAAGAGAGAGAGAGAGAGAGAGAGAGAGAGAGAGAGAGAGAGAGAGAGAAAGAGAGTAAAATTCAAAATTATCCAACTCGTGTAGAATATTTGAAAAAGTAAATTCACATGCTAGATAGGTCTGTAGTCTTCTCTCACCTTAGTCTCCAATAAAATGCCTTTGCTAATCTTAAACATTATAAAAATCTAACCAAATACTGTTCTAAGCAGCTGGCAGTCATTATATTATGCAATAAGTAAACACAGCAAAATTAAGACCAAATAAATACAAAAAATACCAAGTCGCTTTTAATTCTGTATTCAATAAACAATATACAATATCTAAAATCTACACAGCTCCCTCTACAAGTCCCATCAAATCGAACAAATATCAATCATAAATCACTGGAATATCTCTAAATGATATACAATTACAATTCATGTTTTCGATACGCCGAAACATTTTCAAATAATTTTCCCAAGCAATTTCCCATGAAAATTCAAATTCGTTGAGTAAAGGAAAACAGAACAGAAAATATCAATTACCAATAAAAGAAAAACAAAAACCAGCTATGCAAAAAGTTGTGCAGGCTGGGGGGAGAGGGAATTGTTTATTATGGAACTGGGCCATTAACACGCCTCAACGCAAAGCAACAGCAACAACTAACGGCAACAACAACAACAACAACAAAAGTTGGCGAAAACAAAAGTTGCCCAAAGGAAAAACTAAATTTTTGTTGCGGATACAATGAGGCGAGTGTTTGGCCATACGTATACGTAATATGCCAACAAATGTGTGTGTGTGTGTGTGTGTGTGTGGGAGTGTTGGTGTGGGAGTGTTGGTGTGTGTGTGTGGGTGTGTAGGTGTGCTGGTATGTGCGACGCAAAAACTAGATACTAAATACATGAGCTGCTGCAACAATTAGAAACAAACAAAATTGCAAAGCAACAGATACAGATGCAGACGCAGATACAGATACACAGATACAGATACAAATTGACTTACATAACTGCGATAGGATGACATGCTGATTACGTTATTTTGGCATCTGCCGCTGCTGGCAGCAATTGCGTTTGCTTTTCAATTCCTTCGATTCTTTTTTACTCAACGTTTCGTTTTCTCTGCCTTTGTTTATTCAGCGATTCATGACATTTAACACGGCTCGATAGATTTGCATAGATATTTGTATCTATATATATATTTATTTATATTTTCTTTTTGTTTGATTGTGCACACTTACACTCACACACACTCACACACACACACACAGGCGCGCGCGCGATAAATTAACTGCCGTTTGACAATTAGTGCTGGCCTCGCAATTGCCAGAGATGCAAAATAAACTCGATCAATTTACTGCGGGCTAAGCATTGTGTCGGCTGCATTTTTGCAGGCACTGTGAGCAAGCGTATTACACTTTACATAATCCGCCGGCACGCAGCAGCATCGGTGGCAGCTAAAGGAGAGCGTGTGGCAGCCATGCCCTAGGAGCAGCACTGAGTGCAGCCGGCAGAGGCAGTGGCAGGAGGCAGAGACGCCAGCTGAGGCAGCGGTGCAACACGGCGAAATGCAACACACGTCACGGGCTCGTTTTATTTATGCGCTAATATATATTCTGTGGCGCGGAGTCGCTTCGATTTCCCTTTTTTTTTTAATACAAATTTAACTTTTTTGTTTTGTGTTTTTTTTTCTCGATTATTTTTAAATTTAGCAAAAAAAACGCAGCACAGAAATTGTCGCGCGTTTGCGTTAAATTCGTGTGCGACTCGGCGCGTTGTCAAAGGAAAACTGTTGTGGAAAATCTTGCGCTGAGATTTTTAGCCCGACAACAAAAATTTCTGTGTGTGTTTTTCTTCTTTTGTGTTTGAGTTGTGCGTGTGTGTATTTTGGTATCGAGAGATCGCCCATTGCCCTCTCGCGCTCAGGCAGTCCTCTCTCTCTCTCTCTCTCCCTGTCTCTCTCTTAGCTGCGTTTGTAAATTGCAATAATGAAACAAATAAATACAAATTTCAGTGGTTGTTGCTGTTGCTGTTGTTGTATATAGCCACGCGTAGATCTGGCAAAAAAAAAAAAAAAATTCAGAAAATTCGTACGTAATGAGGTTCGTCTTTCGACATCTGTTAGAGTTTATTTAGTTGCAAACGATTTCTGAAATCGAATTGAAAGAACAAATTTTGCCTTAATTTTCGATTTTGATTAGCATCGAAATATGCCTTAAAATAGAATATAATTTATATTTTGGGCTTTAATAAATTTTATTCTAAATATGATTTTGGRTATATTTGAAATTGTGAGTAATCAGATGAGTGGGCGAGAGTGAATAAGAAATAAATATGTATATATTTATATTTAAATATGTATATATTACATATTTATATTTATTTATATATAGAGAGAGCATGAGGCACAAAAATTTACTGGAAGATCTTCATTAGATATATGATATTTGTTTATATGTTTATGCCATCGCATTTGGCCTCGTTAATATAGATTGTATTCGGGATTTAAGCAGAGAACTTTTGACCTATGAACAAAAATCTTAATCATAAGAATAATCATAAAAAATAGAAAAATTAAAATTTTTTTTATATTAATTTGACACATGAATTAAGATCCCGATTATGATATAATTTATACACTTTATTTTAACAGAATTTTTTGAAACTTCGTCAGACCCTCGACTTGTTGTATTTTCAGGCTACAGCCAAAAGATTGGGGGCTTGTGTATTTAGTAATAATTCAGTACTTAATTTTAAATAAAAATCAGGTCCTTCCTTAAAAGCTGCATTAATACTAAGTATTCAAGCTCTAAAAGTAGCTTGAAATTAGATCAAGTTTAAGAGTATTAAGTATTAATTCAGTATTTAATTTAAATAAATGTCAGGTTTTTCCTTTATTTTATTAGCTCGACCAAGCCAAGCAGCTGACGTTGTAGTTCTACTTAGTATTTATTTTAATTACAGTTAATTATTATAGAAAAAATTAAAAATAACAAAATTTAATCATGAACTATTTAGTCCCTTAGCTTTCAGTTTAAGGCTCTAAGGCATCAGGCGACTAAGATTTGATATGTAACCAGGCAAATATTTTTTATTATATTTATAATATAATTACTGCCAATTATTATCAATATATCTAATAAAAGTTGATAAACTAAACTCATTAAGTATTAGATCAAGCTGTAACTTAAGCCGCCTTTGAGCTGCCTGAATTCAACTGCCTCAATTCAAGCCATTGCAATGCCAGACTTATAGACTTTCCCATTGTATGCTGCTGCTAGTCGTAATTATAAAATCACATAGCCTCTTTATATACGTCAGTTCTCATAAGTCAGTTCTATGCTCCTAGCTCTTGCTCCTCTACAATTCCCATTATAAACTCTTGCCTCCATCAACAACTCTGCTTCATAAGCGCATACTTGCTCTTATATTTGGTATGTGTGTATATATGTGTTTGTAGATCTGCCTATCCACTCACATCGCTCTCCCCCTCTAGAGCAAGTGTCATTAATTTATTACACATATTTGCTGTGAATATACACGTATATATATCGTGCATATGATATGAGCAACAAGTACATACGGACAGACATCCATGCATATACTAGAATCGCATCTCTCTGCACTGATTTTGTTCTTCATTTAAAAATAACGAACTGTGTGCCACTTTTGCCGGCCACACACACACACACACACACACACACACACATACGCATAGAGACAGAGATATATATTGAATGGGGCACCGGAAGCATGCGGCTAGCTGAGATGACGTCCATTCAAAAATTTAGCTATTCGGTATATCTGAAACAAAAGATTGCCTTTTGGCCTGCACATGGCGAACGGCTCGAACGTGCGAGTATTTGGCTTTTTGTTATATACATATTATATATATATATTTTAGTGGGCATTTAAATACTAAATATCTAAATATGTGCCAAAAACGAGTGTAAGCAAATGCTGCCCGGCCTGCACATAAATCAGAGAACGCCGCGACAAAGACGCCAAATTGCCTAAGAAAAGTCGAAGAAGAGTTGAGCTGAGGCAGCGTCAGGCCCAGCGGCCATCAATAGCTAATAGCCAGCCAGTGGAAAGGGTAGCCAGTAAGTGGGCTGGGGGCAGGGCAAAGTGGCTCGACACTTTGATGAAAGACATGCAGTGGTTGCAATGGATGCTGACGCCGGGGCTGCGGAAACTTAACCTAATCTGACCGACAGATACAAATAGCTTTCAGCGCTGCAGTCAACAGAAAAACAACAGAAAAAAAAAAAAAAATACCGAAAAAAAAAGGCGCGTGCATTTTGCATGCTTTCCACAAATATTTTTTAACAGTGCGTGAGAGACGCCAACAACAACAACAACAAATGCAACGCCAACGCAGCCCCAGAAATAAATGCAAACAAATCGAAAAATTGAGCAGGAAAAAAAAACACAGAAAGAGAAAACAAGTGAGAACACTGCAAACGGGCATGCATGACTGCAGAATGCGCGCTCAGAGTATAGAAAAGGCTAAATTTTAATGATGATGAATTGGTTACTATATAAAATGCCACGCCCCAAGGGGCGGTATGTACCTGAGTTGTAAGCCTGCAAGACTTTGGCAGATAAAGTCGGTTTGTTTCTGATCTGCCATGCCCACAAATGAGTACGCCCACTTTCTACAATCCTGAAAGCCTTACGGATCCTTAGTATATACGAATATATATTATATATTTTATATATGTATCAAGTTCTATCGATTTACAATAGTCTCGACGGGGAGACTGGGCGATGCAGTTATTTTACTGATCTGCCACGCCTACAAATGAGTCTGATTGATTTATGTATGCTAAGTATATACGAATATATTTTATACCTCAAATATCAAGTGTAAAAACTTTAACAATTCTACTTTTGCCACGCCCATTGCATTCATATGCAAAAACAAAAGCCCTTTGCATTTTATAAACGTTAATACAAACATATAGATCATTCACATTTCAATTCAAAGCCAATATACCCGCTTCAAATCGCAAGCGAGCATAAAAAAAAATCAAGAAAAAAAATCGTTTGCCTCAAAACGAGAAATGAATTTTGGGTAGGCCATAAAAAATACACCGACAGCCATAAAAGTCAGACCCGGCAATCCACGGGAGCAGCCAGTGGGCAATCGAGCTGCAACTGGGGAAAACTGGGAACTGGGAAAGCTAGAGGAAAACGGGAGCTGTTGGCCATGGGGATCTGCCGGCTGCTAGATGATCGGTGGAGTGGGGAGGGGACAAACTGGCAGGGGCAGGCCTTTCAATCATTTCTACGATTTTGAATTTGTAATTTATGCTTGGCCTTAGCCAAACAGCAAACAGATTATGCAATCAAGCGACCCAACGCACAAGTTAATAAAACTAATAGCGCGGCGGGTGTGAGGCAGCGAAGGGGCGTGGCTGCATCGGATGCATCGAGTGAGGCATTGCAGCAATTTGTTTGCCTGCCCATAAAACACCATCAAATTGTTGCCCCAAGTTGTATATTATGTCGTAACATTTTTACTAATGCTGCAGAATGCAGCCGAATGACACTCGGAGTTGTTGTCGCCGGCAAACAAATTTGATTGAAGCTTGAGAAAACTTCAGGTAGAACAGGTGAATGATAGAGAGAGGTAACATAGCTTGTACAATTTTGCAGTTTGAAAGACTGAGAAAAGATTAATTCGCATTGAAAACACTCATTTTTTTAATATACCCTAAACCTATAGAAAATGGGAAATCAGAGAGACAGAATATCAAAAAATCTTTGTAAGAGGCTGAAGTAGGCGTGACAGAACTAAAAAAAATATATATTTTCTTTATCAGGGTAACGAATTAAGTCGATTGAGCCACTTTTATCTATTCATCCGTATTTTTGCCCGTCTGACTGTATGCTTGATCGCGTCGATCTCAAAAAATATGAGAGCTAGAAACTCATATTTATTTTTGATAAGTCGGTATATACTACGCACATATCAAATTTGTTTCAAAAAACCGATAAATACTCTCGTTTATTTAATATTCATTAAAAATCTTACCAAAAATCAGTTACAAAATTATATATTTTATTAGAGAATCTCGCAGTCGAGCAGTCTCTATTAGAAATT